TACTGCAAGATGGTTTTTATAAAGCGCAGCAATCACGCAAAGGCCCTCGAAACTATGCGGGAAGCTGCGGAACTGGTTAAGCGTGACAAGGTCGGTTTTCCCCCCGCATCCCTTTAACCTTCCTACGCAGATCAATCTTTTCATGTTTCCCGAGGGAACCCGTTGCGATACGGGGCGTTTGATGCCGTTCAAGAAGGGGGCCTTCCATCTGGCAATTCAGACTCAAGTTCCGCTCCAACCCATAGTTATCTCCTGCTACAATAAGTTTATGAATCACAAGGAGAAGTTCTACAGTCCGGGTAAGTCCGGAAATCTATTTATGGGTGTACATTCGCCTGCTCACTTTTCTCTAATGTTACTAAGTTTGTCCATCGCACACAACAATGGCCACTACTGTGTCGGAGAGGATAAAGCAGTGACTTTTTCGCGAATCTTTGTATAGTTACACAGATGTGCATTTTCTTTATTGCGTTCTAATCCCGAGTCTTTCGTGTTCTGGTTGCAACATGGTTAATACGACTTGAGACCGGTGTTTGCGTAGTAGCTGAAGTCACATCCACATTTAGCACTCGTATGCTGATTCCTAAATGCCCGAACTAATTTTCGATGAGGGAATCTAAGATCTCGTGACTCAAAGTACAATAGAGGTCACATTACGAAGTAGCCATTGTAGCCCGGCGCTCGGTCCTATGTAGACTGAAGGTGTCCTACTGATCAATTGTCTTCGAATTCATGATCATGCTAGTTTAGAAGCGTATTTGGCCGTTGACTGCAAATAAAGTAAGCAATCTTCCTCTTGGGGATGAACATCTCCCTATCTTTATCGATCCAAGTAGGATTAAATTCGCGACTCACGGTGAGCCTCCTAGCTCAATGATAGAGCGTTGGCTGCGCAAAAGCCTTCCCTGCTCTGTGTGTTCGACTCCCACAGAGGCCGTGGATTTGGTCAACTGAATTAAGAAAATCTACCCACCCCCCCCTTCCCCAAAAAATTTTGTATATATTTACAGCTACAAAGAAGACGAAGTCACGCTCGTTGGAGCAATAGTTTTATTAGCCTGACGTTTCGCATTCTCGTTAAGATCCATCATCGGACACAAAGGGCAGCGGATTGCACAGGTGCTGCAATATTGATAGGGCGTAGTTTCTAGGCGTTACATGCCTATTGCAATTGGCAGCTTCCGAATGCCTCACACGTGGTGCCACAATCATCTGATTATTACCAGTTGCTGTGCCCTCGCGTGCCTGTCACCATTACTGACTCATA